AGACACTTGGGCTCCCCACCGTCTCTGAAGATGGGTTCTAGGGTGATGGCAGCTCAGATGTGTTAGCCCAAGGCTCTCTCCCCAGGACTCTAGGGCCCTAACAACCCCCACCTCTGGGGAGTCTGATGTTCTGGAATCTACTGGAAGTTACTCAGGGATGATGTGTAATTTGATATGATTAAACAGCGTTAGACAAGAGCGGTTTGGGACCCTGCGTGTAAGACTAAGAAGACAGGAAAGGGGGAGTGGAAGGGAGGGACAAGGGAAAGGAAAGAAAGGAATGGGAGAAATATCCTAAGCCTAGCTAGAAGCCACAGCCAGCCAGCAGTAGCGAATAAAACGCCGCCAAATGTCCAACAATGGAAAATTGTAATTTCTGATAATAAAAAGGCTGTCACAGGGTTTTATGTTCACTGAGGTGGAAACCCCAGAATGGCCTGTCCCGGCCTGCATTTCCAGACTCTACCGAAGATGCCTGCCCATGGGCATGACTGTTGGGTTCTGGGTCAGTAAGCTGGGGCTGGGGAGATCCCACAAGACCACATCCTGTGAAATCCTGCAAGGAGTGTGGTGGTCAGTGTGCAGGGTTGCCAAGGCCTTGCTGGATACCATGGCGAGTTTTCTCTTGATGGCTCCTTGGTCGGACCTAGGTCCCAGCTCATTCTGCTTTTCACAGTGGAAGCTCAAATCCCCCAAAGCTGTTTGTGGGTACCATGCAGGAACTTTGTCACAATCTTCCACATCCACTGCCCTCCTGTCCTGGTTTGCACCCAGCTCCTTATTTTCGATTTTGGCTCTTGTCTGTAGCCCTTACCCAGCTGTTTGGACTTGGAGCTCCTGGATATGAGTCTGAATCTGAACGCTGTCCTCTGGATCTTTTGCCCTAGATGTGCTGGAGATGCTAGTTTTGGTTCTTGGAAAGCAACTCTGTGCTCTGGGTCATGGCCACTGGAAGTGTGGGATAGAACTGCCAAGCTTCCTCCTTATGCTTCTGTCTATGAAGGGAGGGATGCAGGTACTCCTAGGACGGAGTAAGCTCTCCAAATATTGTTGCTTGTCTTCTGATAATAGTAAGAAGTGTTTAGACCTCTCTTGCTAGCGTGCCTGGGTGGCTCAGTCAGTTAAGCGACTGCCTTCAGCTCAGGTCATGATCCTGGAGCCCCGGGATCGAGTCCTGCATCGGGCTCCCTGCTCGGCGGGGAGTCTGCTTCTCCCTCTGACCCTCTTCCCTCTCGTGCTCTCTATCTCTCATTCTCTCTCTCAAATAAATAAATAAAATCTTTAAAAAAAAAAAGATCTCTCTTGCTAAAGAGAAAATAGCCAACAGCTTTTAATGCCAAGTTTCCATGTCATAGAATTATCTAAGAAGTACTGCTTCTTAATGAAGCAAAACTGGATGAGTCTTCTGGAAGAAGTCTAATTAAGTGCACATGATAAAGCCGGAACAGGAATCAGAACAGTGAGAAAGTGTCTCTGCTGTTCTTCGATGTTTCCTCCTTTACATACCTTTTTAAAATGTAGCACTTAGTAATACTTACATAGCATAGCTGTTTGCCTCAGAGAAAAAGGTATTAACTGAAAATTTCACAGTTCTGATTTGTCTCATATATTCAAGTGCATTTCTAAGTAGTTATTCCAGTAGTTATGACTCTCTGTGCATTAGAAATAACTGGAAAGCAAATTAAAAAAAGAGATGATGAAGTCCCACCCCCATAAATTCTGGGCCCAGGCGTCTGTTCTGTTAGAATCTATGTTGTTTGAGAACCACCAGTCTGGCGTTCCTCAAACTTTAAAGTGCATATGTATCACCTGGGCATCTTGTTAAAAAATACAGATTCTGAGGGTGCCTGGGGGGCTCAGTTGGTTAAGTGACTGCCTTCAGCTCAGGTCATGATCCTGGAGTCCCGGGATCGAGTCCCACATCAGGCTCCCTGCTCAGCAGGGAGTCTGCTTCTCCCTCTGACCCTCCCCCCTCTCATGTGCTCTCTTTCTCTCTCTCTCTCTCTCTCATTCTCTTTCAAATAAATAAATAAAATCTTTAAAAAAAAATACAGATTCTGACTCCCTGGATCTGGGGTGAGACCTGCGATTCAGTAATTCTAACAAGCTCCCAGCTGAGGCTGCCGCTGCTGGTCCCCACATCACCCCGTGAACACATGGCACAGACTACCAAACAGTGCGGCCTCTCACCTGCTGGCACCTGGGCCCAAACTGGAGATCAGACCCAAGAAAGAAAATTGCCAGACTCCTCAGGACTGAACTCGTAACTAAGTCATGAAGTGATTAGCAGCGGATTTGATAATATATCATCTCAGCAAAGCCACACATAAACCACACAAGATCAGGATTATAGGATTGTTTATGGATGAGAAAACCAAGACTCACAAAGTCATACAGTCAGTAAGAGGGTGTATTGGTTTTCTATTGCTGCCTTACACCAGACCACAAACTGGGTGGCTTAAACATGACAACTTTATTATCTTTTGGTTCTAGAAGTCAGAAGTCCTAAAATCAAGGCATTGGCTCTAGGAGGATCTATGACACAGTCCATTCCTTCTGAGGGGCTCTAGGACGGAATCTATTTTCTTCCTTTGGCAGCTTCCAGAGCCTACCTGCATTCCTTGGGACAGGGTCCCTTTCTCCATCTTCAAAGCCAACATCTCTGGCCCTTTTACCTTCGTTACATCTCCAACCGTAGCTAGGAAAGCACCTCTGCTTTTAAGGACTCATGTAATTAGACTGGGCCCATCTGAATAATGCACGGCACTCCTGCATCTCAAATCTGCAACATCTCTTTTACTACGTAAATGACCATATTTTAGAGTTTCCAGGGAGTAGGGCACAGACATATTTTGGGGGCCGTTCTTCTGCCTACCATGGTAGGAAAACCAAGATTTGGAACCTGGAATCAAACTCAGATCTGATTCCAGAGCCCACACTTCGTCCAGCACACAACTCAAAACAGCAGCTGCATTGAACATTGCTGTTGTGTCTTCTGGAGACCAAATCAAGAGAGGAGCCTAAGTCCGCTGCAGCTGTAGGCAGCCTGAATACCCTTATCATTTTAAATTGAACTAAAATAGGGCTGAAGCACATTTTGTTTATTGCAGTTCATTTTGCATTCTCCTTAGACTCAGTGAAACCCAGTCCTTCTGCACAATGGCAAAGCCTTGGGAGAAAGCACAAATATCTACCCGCGGTTCCCCCTCATTATTTAACCTAACTTAAAAAAAAAGATGGAAACCAAGGGATATCTTTAAGATTTGGCAGTGAATTACTTATAGGTCCAAGCAAGCATTCTGAAGCAAGGTTCGTAAATGAGCCTTGAACATTGAACTCTCTTGCAGAAAGCTTGATGACTACTGAGGGGCTGTGATCACTTTATCACTTAGACTCCCCACCGCCACGGCAGACAGGCAGTCCTGTCCACAGAGGTTTAGCCCTTACAATGAGCGAAAACTCATTCCACACTTCATGAGTGCCTTCAGAACTTGGTTTTATTTTTTGAGCAGCAGTTCCATCCACAAAAGCAAGCTTATAGTTATTAGACACATCATGAGGGCAATGGGAAGAGAGAATTTTTTTTTTAAGATTTTATTGATTGATTTGAGAAAGAGAGAGAGAGAAAGTGGGTGGGGGGAGAGGAAGAGAAACTCAAGCAGACTCCATGCTGAGCACAGAGCCCCACCCGGGGCTCTATCTCACAACCCTGAGATCATGACCAGAGCCAAAACCAAGAGTCAGGATGCTCAACCGACTGAACCACCCAGGCACCCTTGAACAGAGAAATATTTAATGTGAGTTCTCTTAAGCCCATCTGCTACAGTTTGAATTATGTACCCCTGACAAAAAAAGAACTGAAGTTCTAACCCCCAATACCTCAGAATATGGCCTTAGTTGAAAATGGGGTCATTGCAGATGTAACTAGTTAAGATGACTGGTTTCCTCATAAGAGGAAAGAGGCACAGAAGGTGTCCAGGAGGCGACAGAGGCAGAAACTGGGGTGACACATCCACAAGCCAAGGAACACCAAACAGAGCAGCCAACACCAAAGGTAGATGAGGCAAGGTAGGACGCCCCCTACAGGTTTCAGAAGGAAACCCACCCTGCCAACATCTTAATTTTGGATTCCTAGCCTCCAGAACCACGAGAGAATACATTTCTGTTGTTTAAAGTCCCCCAGCTTTGGGAGCTTTGCAAGGACAGCCCTGGCAAGCTGATAAATACCATCTCTCAGGATGCTACAACTTCTTTTTCTCACTTTACAGAATGCATGTATTTTGGAAAAGATGGGTGAATATAGATCCAACTGTGGTCAGAACAGGATTTCAACACTGGAGATGTGGTCCCAGAGAATGATTTTAATTACAGGATGTTATCTAAACCACACAACAGAAATCTTGCCAGGACACTATTCATTATAAAGTAGACAGGCATTTCTAAGCCTGGTTTCAGGAAGAAGTTCTACAGTAACTTTATAGAGCCTGGACCTAGGAGACAGCTCAGCCGCTGAGTCAGCTTACATGTAGAGCACCTACTAGGAGACAAGCACTGTGCTGGGTGCTGTACAGACATATTTTTTCAGACCACTACTCCTCCCTTTTGTAAAATGAAAACAAAAACAAAAAAACGTTTTCCTCTGGGTTGTGACCTCCTGCAGAGGGGAGGAGGAGAGGAATGACTAATCTCATCAAGAACTCTCTTCCCCAGTCCCACAGTGACCCCGTCATCCCTGGGAGTGCTCCTCCTTCTGAGGCGGTGTCCTCAGGATCTGTCTCTCACCGCCTCCACCTGCCAGTCCGTCCAAGCTGCTCATCAACCACTCGTGCCACCACGTGTAACCGCGTCAGGATCTGCAGGCCACTGAGCCCCCTCTTCACCCCTCCTTGGCTTTCCCCTATCTGCACTTCGTTTTTACACATCTTAGAATCCGCTGCCCATCAACGGGCTCGAACTCTGTGCATCCTCTGACTTTCAGCAACAGCATCTCCAAAACCCACCTCTGTGGACGCAGCTGTGCGGTGCAAGGTCGCTGGCGAGAGTCACACACCACTGAGCGTCGTCTCACTCAGAGTTCATCGGTTCCTACTCAGAGTGCCTCTTAAATCCTTCTCTGATTAGTCACTTCTCTTTTGCCCATCACCACTGTTAAAAATGATTAAAGAAGACAAGTTAGATGATACAAAGAAACTTTATGTAACATGAAGCATTCGCGTTCAGGAAGCGGGCAGTCTCCATTCCCAAGTCCAGAGAACTGCAAAATAGGGCAGAAGGCAGGAAGCATAGCACCCGGGCCGAAGCGGCTCCACCCTGGGCCTAGAAGTTTATTTCAATACCACTTTAACCCAAGCCACCCTCGTCTCCGTCCTAGGCTTGCCACAGTTTCTGCAGGGTGGCGGCCTCCAGGCACTTGTCCTATGCCCCATCCCACCTTCCCTGTCCCCCACACACTGTCTTCTGACTGCATTCAGGATTCTGGCTTTAAAATGCAAACCTGCTCTTGACTCCCTTCCACTCTCCCTAGAACTTCCTATTCTTGGAAGAACGACAGAACTGACCTCTATGGGAGGCAGATCATCATGGTGCTTCCCCTGCTCTTCCCACCCAGGCCATGCGAGCCCTCCCATGGGCTCCCTCCTTCACACGGCCATGGAGCCTTTTTCTACGTTGCTCCTCTGACAAGAACACTCACTGTCATCCCACACTCCATGCCATGTCACCTCCTCGCTCTTCTCACCTCCCCGCCATCATCACCTCCACAGAGATCTAGCCTTCTGTAAATCCCTATCAGATGCTCTCAGAGCTCAAGGCCACACCTCCATTTTTACATTTATCTGCAGGCTTATTTGATAGGTGTCTTTCCCAGTAGTCGGAAAACTCAGAACACAAACAGTCTTATACGGTTTTATCATTGTGTCCTTAGCACCCGGCATACATCACATGCAGGTACTCAGTAATTGTTCAATGAAAGTTGAATGAATATTTCATTTTCACGACCACCTGGAAAGGAAGCAATTATTCCCATTTTTCAAATGAGAAAAATTAAGAAGCTCGGGGAAGTTAAATTACTTAACTAGTAGATAATCAAAGACTCATCAGTTTGTCCGATTATAAAGCTCATCTTCTTTCCTGTGTACTCTGTTTCTCATCATGTCACACAATATCCCCTGCTAACTCTGCCAGAGGCAGGGTCAGAGGTCGCGTTCCCCCCCCAAACTGAGTGTGCAGGACCAAGTGTCTGCATAAGGAGTGCCGGAGCCAGAGACTGGCAGCATCACGACTGGGGGATACCACTAAATGCAGGTGAGAAAACTTTTTCTATCCAAAAGCAATCAGCGTACATCAAAAGCATAAGAATGTTAGTATTGTCTCAATAGTAATAGCTCTTCACCTAGTAATTCTGTTTCTAGTAATTTTAAGACATGTACACAGGAGTTTATGAACAAGGATGGTCACCACAGTACTATGTTCAAATAGATAATCAAATTTTGATACATCCTTACAGTGAATTTTTTATGCAGATACTACATACATATTTTTTAAAGAATATTTAAATGATGAGAAAATGGTTAAATGGAACACTTAATAATTAAAAGGGCAGTAGACTAGCAAAGGGACACTAGTATGATCCCAATTTGGGGGGCAGGTGTTTCTATCATAGTGAAGAAAAATAAAACAAAATACAGCAAAATGTCAACTGGTTATCTCTAGGGAGGAAGATTATGGACAATTTATATTTCCTCCCATATACCTCCTTGTATTTTTAACTGTTTGCCATGAACACACATTCCTTTTATAGTGAGGAAAGTATGTTATTAAAAAGCAACTGAGCATGTAATTTGCTCAAAAGATTTCTCCGGTGTTTTATCAGTTTTTCAACTGCTATTTCTGAATTATTACTGGGACAAAATTGCTAGTCCTTTGAGGGATTTTCCTTCTAATGTTCATCCTTTAGGTTATTTATATAACAGAAGACTGTACGGAGAATACACGAGACCAACTGCTCCAGCTCCACCACATAAAGGGCCTGGAAGTCATCGCCCTGGTCCTTACAGTAAAACACAGGACAAACTGAAAATCAGTGACTTTTTTTGGACTCATCAGAGAACTGAGTGTGCAGGACCAAGTGTCTGCGTAAGGAGTGCCGGAGCCAGAGACTGGCAGCGTCACGACTGGGGGATACCACCTCTTGCTTTGGTGAGCATTACCTCCACGAGCCCCACCACTTGCTCACGGGGAAGATCAGAGAAAGATTTCTTCATGGCTCTGGCAGGTGGAGGGGACTGGTAATGCTTGTGAACACCCCCAGAACCTGCTCCACAATACAGGCCTACCCACCAGGGGAACCACTCTAGCAGTGCTTTGTTCTAAAGTTGTGAGACAATGGCATTCCTCTCACTCCAGTCCCTGTGAGCCTTCCTGCCTCACCTCACAGGATGAGGAAGTATAAAGAGCAAAATGGAGTCTCTCACATCAAGCGGGAGCCTGTGTCAAGAAAGGACGCAAGCAGTTAAGGTACCGCTGCTCAGACCATCAGCTGACCCCCCAGAACTGATAACGAGCAGAGAAACAGAGGAGGTCTGCAGAGACCCAAAACTAATGAAATCCCTTTAAAAAGGGAAGGATTTTGGCAGCAAAATGTCAGACTCTTTAGACGTGACCCGTCTATGTCAGACCACTTAAAAAAGGCAACTGTCGCCAAAGGTTCTGCCCGTTGGATCTCTGAACAGAACCGAGATCCTTCACTGCTGGAACAGAAGAAGCAGTAAGTGCAGAGAGCTGGCCTGGACCAGATGGGGAGGTCTTATCTCAACTGTGCACCCACAGACTGTGTTTGGTTCGTTCACTTCCTGTGCCTTTTGTTATCTTGTTTGTGGTGTGGCTTGTCTTCTGTCCTGCTCTGTGTGATGTGTAAGAAGCAAAGTTTAATCACATGGTGAATTGTCACTGAGTTTGGGAGCCTGAACATGCTTTATAACTGTGATTAACTTTATGACTGAATAAAGCTGACTTTGTAGAAAGACACAGCACATGTGTGTGCCTTCATAGCATGTTCATGACATGAAGCTATCAAAGAAGAAACACATGTGAAGGGTCATAGGCCAGAGACTCAAGGTTTAATCCTAAGATTAGAGAACACTCTCTTGTCCACACACTTTAGAACTACACCAGCAGGTGTCCAGTGTGATGGTGGATTTTTGAAAGAGCTGTGAGATACAGGCTTTCTGTATGGAGGAGTACTTAGGGAAGCCCAAAGAAGGGAAACAAAATAAGAAGCCCAGAATTTGAGACCTCTGATACCAAGAGCTACCCCAAACAATCACAGCCTAACTAACAAAACACACAGATCAAGTTCTGTGATCAAAAATAAATTAGAGAAGATTTCAATCAAGTATCAAAATGAGGCTCATATATGACACAGAATTATCAGGTAGAGAACTTAAAGTGACTATCATTAATATGTCGAGGGCTCTAAAGGAAAAACTAGACAAAAAACAGATGGGTAATGTAAGCAGAGCAAAGGAAATTCTAAGAAAGAATCAAAAGTAAATGCTAGAAATTAAAAACACTGAACAGATGTAAAACAAAAAAGATACCCAGGCGTATCATGTTCAACCTGCAAAAAATCACAGACAAAGAGAAATTATCTTGAAAGAAGTCAGAGAAAGGGAGGGAAAACCATTTTATCTATAGAGGAATCCCTATAGAGAAGGAAATAAGGATAACAGTGGGCTTCAAGCTCTATTACAAAGCTGTCATCATTAAGACAGTATGGTACTGACACAAAAACAGACATATAGATCAATGGAACAGAATAGAGAGCCCAGAAATGGACCCTCAGCTCCATGGTCAACTAATCTTTGACAAGGCAGGAAAGAATATTCAGTGGAAAAAAGACAGTCTCTTCAACAAATGGTGTTGGGAAAATTGGACAGCCACATGCACAAGAATGAAACTGGACCATTTCCTTACACCACACACACAAATAGACTCAAAATGGATGAAAGACCTAAATGTAAGACAGGAATCCATCAAAATCCTCGAAGAGAACACAAGCAGCAACCTCTTTGACCTCAGCCACCAGTAACTTCTTGTTAGAAATGTCTCCAAAGGCAAGGGAAGCAAGGGCAAAAATGAACTATTGGGACTTCATCAAAATAAAAAGCTTTTGCACAGCAAAGGAAACAGTCAACAAAACCAAAAGACAACCGACAGAATGGGAGAAGATATTTGCAAATGACATATCAGATAAAGGACTGGTATCCAAGATCTATAAAGAACTTACCAAACTCAACACTCAACGAACAAATAATCCAGTCAAGAAATGGGCAGAAGACATAAACAGACATTTTTCCAAAGAAGACATCCAAATGGCCAACAGACACATGAAAAAATGCACAACATCACTTGGCATCAGGGAAATACAAATCAAAACCACAATGAGACACCACCTCACATCAGTCAGAAAGGCTAAAATTAACAAGTCAGGAAACGGCAGATTATGGTGAGGATACAAAGAAAGGGGAACCCTCCTACACTGTTGGTGGGAATGCAAGCTGGTGCAGCCACTCTGGAAAACAGTATGGAGGTTCCTCAAAAAGTTGAAAATAGAACTACCTTATGATCCAGTAATTGCATCACTAGAGATTTACCCCAAAGATACAGATGTAGTGAAATGAAGGGGCACCTGCACACCAATGTTAAAGCAGCAATGTCCACAATTAGCCCAACTATCGAAAGAGCCCAGATGTCCATCAACAGATGAATGGATAAAGAAGATGTGGTGTGTATACACACACACACACACACACACACATACTGGAATACTACTCAGTCATTAAAAAATAAGAAATCTTGCCATTTGCAATGACATGGATAAACTAGAGGGTATTATGCTAAGCGAAATAAGTTAATCAAAGACAATTATCATATGATCTACTTATATGTGGAATTTAAGAAACAAAACAGGATCATAGGGGAAGAGAAGGAAAAATTAAAAAAGATGAAATCAGAGAGGGAGACAAACCATAGGAGACTCTTAATCACAGGAAACAAACTGAGGGTTGCTGGAGTGGGGGAGTGGGGGGATGGGGTAACTGGGTGATGGGCATTAAGGAGGGCATGTGATGTAATGAGCACTGGGTATTATGTAAGACTGACGAATCAATGACCTCTACCTCTGAAACTAATAATACATTATATGTTAATTAATTGAATTTAAATAAATTTAAAAGATTTTTTTTAAGATTTTATTCATTTATTTGAGAGAGAATGAGAGAGAGAGAGTACATGAGAGGGGGGAGGGTCAGAGGGAGAAGCAGACTCCCTGCTGAGCAGGGAGCCCGATGCGGGACTCGATCCTGGAACTCCAGGATCATGACCTGAGCCGAAGGCAATTGCCTAACCAACTGAGCCACCCAGGCGCCCTAAAAGATTTTTTTTTTTTAAAAAGTAACGGTGGGCTTCTCTTCAGGAACCATGGAAGCAAGAAGACAGTGAAGTGAAGTATTTAAAGCACTGTAAGAAAAAACCCTCCAACTTAGAATTCTATATGCAGCAAGATATTCTTCAAAATTTGGGGATACTTCCTCCGACAAGCAAAAACTGAAGGAATTTATCACCTGAAGATCTATCCTGCAAAACAAAAAATGTTAAAAGGAATATTATATAGGTCACAAATTTGGATCTACATGAAGAAAGGATGGGGGTTGGGGCAGAAACAAATGAAGGTAGATCAAATCTTTGAGTTTTTAAATTCTTAATTGATCGATAAGGTAACAACGTATTGGTGATTATAGAATACGGATGAGACAAGTGGTAGCAACATCAGAAGGGATGGGGGTAGGAATTGGGAAACTCTACTATAAGGTATCTACACTACATGCACTACATATGAAGAACAGTGTTATTTGAAGGTAGATTAAATATGTACAGTGTAAACATAGGCAACCACTAACTTTCAAATACATATATATTATTGAGGAACCCAAGGCAGTATGCCTTACCTTCTGGGCCCATTTCTTCATGTGAAAGAGTAAGGTAAGACAGTCATTTCTTATTCCCTTCCTGCTCTAAATTCTGACAAAAAGAAAAAAAAACGAATCAAAATAAATAGCCAACCTTCTTTTAACTCTATCTACAAGGAGGGATATCTGCAAGGAGGAGCTTTTGTAAGGTATAACAGCCCATTAGAATGATCAATTCCCTAATCTATTACTTCATTAAGTTTGGGCTTTCCTCTTTCCATACTGTGAGTTTGCTTTTAGCAAGCTTACCTACCGAGTATAATAAAAAAAATGACCCAGGTGTTAGAATTACTAGAACCATCAGACAGGGAACTTAAAATATTGCTCACCTGGCTCCCCATTTCTCAGCGCATTGTGCTGAGTAAAGAACACGCCAGGCTGAAAGGAAAAGGCCATTTCACGGTATTGATCTCATTGCCAGAGACAGGACAAGATATGGGACTTTCAATCCAAAAGGAAATAAACCAAGCTGCCTTCCTTCCCTAGATAGAGCTCATAGTGATTACCTCCAGATCTGTCCATAGACTTTCGTTTCCTGGCTGGCTGTCGGTACACTTATGAGGTCGGTGTACACGGTGATGAGCTACAACTTCCTTGTCAATCAAAAAGTTTTGCTCTTCTAGATCACTGCTTAAATTGCAGTTCATTAAAAAAGGAAAAAGAAGAAAAAAAAGTCACTCTGGGGCTAGCCTAGAGAGCACTGGGAAAATGACCTGCCCCTTCTGAAATGAGATACTGATCTTGCTTCAGGTTAAAGCTACTGAGAATCATTGAAAAGCTCACTTGAAGGTCTACTCCCAGTCTCATCTCCAGCCTTTCATGCTCTAACCCCAGCAATAAAAATCCCCAGCTGGCAGTCTTCTAGTCACAAGGCCAATTTCCAAATTTAAAACCAAGTGCCCAGTACCAGACATATATAAGTGTGCTAAGCCTCACTGGACTCATACCTGTTCTGGGAGTTACTTCCATTCCATTTTTGCCCTCCTGGGAAATTAAAGTGGCATGAAAATCAATACTTCATTTTGAAGGAAGAAAGGGCTGGATGACCAGACTTCAATACATTCCTTCCCGGATTAGACAGTTCTTCAAAGCACACTTGACTAAATAAATTCCAGTGGTCCAAATGAGTCGGATGCCGGCATTAGCTGGAACAAGGAGCAAATCTTGCTTGTTAAAATCTTTGGCTAATGGAGACTCTCCTTCTTAGAGTAAGAAAGAATTCAAGAGAAAATGTGGTCAATGCCTCTCGGTTTTGAATTTTATCCAAATGCTGCAGGCCACAAGGAGTCCCTCAGGCCAGGAATTCAACTTCCCAGAACTAAAAACGGAGAAATTCAGACTAATAGCTAGAGCCTTTTCCAGGACATTAGGGTATTCACATAAGGGCTCTAAAGCTCTACTCAGACAAGAGCAGCAGCTGTGGAAAAAGTTTGAGCTTCCATGGCTAGATCTTCACAGGACATCAGGTTCTAATTTGGATGTGATTGGGACAGAATGCACTTCTTGAGGAGAAAAGGGTGACTTTAAACTGCTGTTTCAGATGTCAGTCCTATGGAGGTACCAAGATCAAAGCTGCACATTTCAGGAAATGATTATTTTCTTTTCTCTCCCCATTTTGCCAGCTGATAATGTACTGCTTCTCTTCCTAAACCACACGAAATGAAAACTCTCTAAAGTCTGGCATGTTTCTGCCTTTTAAGTCCAGCCCAAATGTGATAAAGCATTTTAAAGAAAAGATAGATAAAAATAATAAAAACTATTTTTACCTCCTGGCCAACGGCTTACAAACCCAAATGAAAAATAGAAAGACAGGGCGCCTGGGTGGCTCAGTTGGTTAAGCGACTGCCTTCGGCTCAGGTCATGATCCCGGAGTCCTGGGATCGAGTCCCACATCGGGCTCCCGGCTCAGCGGGGAGCCTGCTTCTCCCTCTGACCCATTCCCCTCTCATGCTGTTTCTCTCTCTTTCTCTCTCTCTCCCAAATAAATAAATAAAATCTTAAAAAAATAAAATAAAAAAAAAAAGAAAAATAGAAAGACAGCACCTCCCTTTGTTTCTTCATTTTTAGTGGTGTTTGAGTTCAGCTTATACTGGTATTTACCAAGATCTATATACCCCTCAAAAACATGAGGGAGTGGGGGACTGAGGGAAGAGGAAAAAAAGAGGAAAGAAGTGTTGGCTAAGAGGTGTGCCAAGGCAATAATGGATTTTCAGAACTTGAAAAGGTTGATGAAACCCACACCAGGTTCAGTATACTTTTTCCATAGCTCAGCCACAAGACCTTTCCAGTTAAAATACAATTGCGGAACTTTTTGTGAATGAAAAAGCAGGCTAGTAGCGGTTAAGAATTCTAGGGTAAAAACAGAAAAGAAACATAACCACCACTGGAAATTTCTGGGACTGTTAAGGTTGTCTTTGAAAACTTATCCTTATAAAGGAGAGGTCTGGCTATCACCACCTTAACCATTATAGTCTGACCAGGGAGACAAGCAGACATTACGGGCCTCCGGACGTGATGCCAGGGCAGGTTACCACATTACTGATGCAGTCTCATTGCCAACCAATGTTAACTGCACCGAATTATGAGCAAATAATCAGAACCCTGGACCGTAAATGACATTCTACTAGACGACTGCTTGGGATTCTTCAAAAAAACCAATGACATGTAAAAAGGACTATTCTAGATTTAAAAATTGAACAGCCAAATGCAATGATACACATTCAATGGATTCTGGATCGTAAAACTAATGGGCAGCAGATAAAAGACATCTTTGGGATATTGGGGAAAACTGGAGTATGAACTGTTTATATCATTGTGTGAACCTTCTAACATATTAGTAGATATATAGAGAAATGCCATTCTTAGAGGTATGCTGGACTATGTGGGGGTGGAGTGTCTATAACTTATTTTCATGATTCAGCAAAACTATATGTATGTATGTGTGTGTGTGTGTACATATGTATGGAGAATATGTTAAACAACTTTGTGAATCCAGATAAAGGGCTGTTGGTCGTTATACTATTCTCCCAATGCTTCTGTAGACTAAAATGCCTTTCTAAGTTGAGGGAAGAAAGTTTTTTTTTTCCACGACATGTATCTCGTCTTCCTTTTATCACTTCGACAACTTTCAAGTTTTTATTCATGTGGGATTTACAAGGTTCCTAAAAGCAGAGCAGAAGACCACTACCCTTAATAGGTGAGCTTTGTTTTAATTCGTGGAACGAGGGATAGTTGTGAAGCTGTTAAGCTCTAACATTTCCAGAATCTCACTGATGATACCTTATGTCAGAGTAATTTCAAGCAGCTGAGTCTGAAATCAGAGCGTCCCAGTTCCAGCTGAGTCTGAAATCAGAGCGTCCCAGTTGAAGCATAATGTCCCTGACTTCTACATAACTACATAGCCAAACTATGCTGTCTCGGGGTAGTTTTTAAATACATACCAAATTATACATTCTTTTTTGTATATGGTCTCCTTCCCCCACATTCCTGTTGCTCCAGAACATACGTTTCCATTAGAACCACTATTTTTTAATATAGCATGTTGGCAACTATGTGTTCCCACTGAATTATAAAATTTCATAAGGTGTGGGCACCTGGGTGGCTCAGTTGGTTAAGCAACTGCCTTCGGCTCAGGTCATGATCCAGGAGTCCCGGGATCGAGTCCCACATCGGGCTCCCTGCTCAGCGGGGAGTCTGCTTCTCCCTCTGACCCTCCCCCCTCTCATGCTCTCTCTCTCTCTCTCAAATAAATAAAATCTTTAAAAAAAAAAAAATTTCATAAGGTGTAAGTACTCTGTTCTAATCCCAGAATTTAGCATAGCACCATGGCACAAAACAGGAACTTGAACAATTACAAGTTGAAGAGAGGAATAGGTAAAATAAAGATCTAAGGTGAAGATTCTCAAGGGAAACAATAAACATGAGTGTTTAACATGCAATGATGTGGTTTCTCTAAAATGACTGGTGGGAGACAGATGGAGAAAGGACCACTTGTAATAAAAACTTTTAAAATGTTTTTGTTGGCCACATGGGCCTTTGTTAGAGGAATGGAGAAGTCTCTGAAACGTAAGATAAAAAGAAAAGAAGCTATATTTATGGAATAGAAATGACCATTACCTTGTATCAGGAGCCACAGTTCAACCAGAGGCCTGAGTTTACTCGTTTGTCCAAAACTTAATAATGTTTGCTATAAGGCTGCATTAATGAACAGAATTCCATAAATCAAAACTTGTATTTTGTTTAATTGAGCACTTAAAACTTCAAGATACATGATTTTTTTCTGAGCTGTGTTAAACATTTCCTACTTAATGTCCCTTAAGTCATGTTACTTAATGTTCCTACTTAAAGCTTATTTTAAACATTTCAGAATAAAAAAATGAACCAAACTCTCCCTGAGGTAAGTTTTTTACTGTTTCTGCAATGTAGCTATTTTAGTAGTATTTGCTATAACACTATAATGAAATCTGTCGGGAACTGGAAAAGAGGAGTTATTTTACTATAACTGAAAAACTGGAGCACATGTGAGAATTTCTGGTAACGCTGGGAATAGCGCCCTAAATGAAAATAATTACATCAACAAAAAGAAATTCTTCTTAGATCAGTCTTGAGGACTGAATAAAAATGATAAAGAAATATCACACTAGAGAAACTTTTAAGTCTTTAAATGAAAAGAGGAACTAAAAGAAGAATAACCAGGATTTGCTACATACAGCACCACCACCTACCAGGGCAGAGCCAACACCCAGAGTATGAAAGAAAACATCCCTTTCAAATCCATGGGGCAATTTTTACAAACTCATTTTTCGTGGGGCGGGGAAAAATAATCAGACAAATCAAAGGTAGCTTTGAAAATTTAATTTGGACCATATTTTCTTTCTCTTGCTGAAAACACCAAGTATTTCCGTACATTTTGGGTTCCAGAGCTTACAAAGGGGCAGTGGGTTTCCTGCAGTCACATACTGTACCCAACTTTCTATAGAAAGATCATTTTCCAACCTTGCTTTTGGGTATTTCCTTAAAAATGCTTTAAAGGTTCCTTATAATAAATGGCAAGTAAAACAAAGTAAGGCTTTATTTTCTCCTTTTTCCCCTTTTTTGGTACTGCATGTTGGAGGAATAAGGAAGGAAGACTTGTCACATGAGTGTTGGTACCCTGGGGATTGCTGCTGGGTCCTCTGAGGTGCACCCATAATACTGTGGGCCCGATGCACCGCTGCGGTGAGGAGCCTGGGATGGGTAAGTGCGGAGCGGCCTGTCACAGCCACGTCATAGCACAGGGGGTTCTGCGGGCTGCCCAGGGATTCTCGGGGCTCACAGCGCTCCTGGCCTTCAGGAGTAATAAAGGAGCTGGGGCCAAATCACCACCAGAGGTCTCCCACCTGATGCCGCAGTACCACAGGTTCCCTTCCGCGGGCCTTACGATATGCATTTAAAGACTAAATGTAATTACTGAAAATAAAATGAGAAAAAAATTCCTTTACTAATTTTTTGTATCAAATTAGTAAAATGAAAATAAAAACATTTGATAAAACATATTTTCTAGGTCAGATGAAAGCAACTCCCTTGCAAGATAACCTCAGTAATATATATTTGTCACTATTTATATATTTTTGCCTGGTGCACACATTTCTTCAATCGCATCATCTGAACAGCTTTGTCATCTTTCAAACTTGCAGTTTCATTAGCTTAAAAAAGGGATAAAGCAGCCAAATTAATACTAATTCTGGTTGCAGAAAGACATCGCAGACATTAACCTTCATCTTCTCAAGTGTTAAGAGCACATGATTAAAAGGTAATCACACGGTCTCCTCTCTCTTAACAGAAAACTAAGCAGCTAGTGTCATCAAATCTATACCTAGTAAACACAGGGCCCCTCTGAAATACAAAATTAAATTCTTTTGAGGAATAGGTTTGTGATTTTAGTTGTGCGGGATGTACATTTATTCACTCAATTTTGTAGTAAAAATGCATGGTCTTCACGTCTTTGTAATACACGAGGGATTTCTTCATCGCCTCAGCAGGCTCTCACACACAGACGGCAGGCTGGGTTCCTCGGCTTGTCTCCGAAAGGGGAGGCAGCCACAGGTCATGTGCTCTCAGAAGCCCTGCAAAAACTCTTGTAGCTGGGTGACGATCTCTGTGTCCACCGTCTCCATGAGGGACTGGAAGCCTTGCTCTCCCAGTAGCTCCTGCTGTGCCTTAAGCTTCTCGTAGATAAACTGCTGCAGCGACACCGTGTGCACCGGGTCCTTCAGGGCCAGCTGTGGGACAGAGAGGAGCCACACTGTGTTAAAGAGGCAAAACACGTCCCTCTTCCCTGTGACTACAAGGCTTTGTAATCTCCTCTGCAGCAACACAATTGCTTCTACCTCCCTTCTTATAAGGGATTCTCAAATAGTCCCACTGTGGAAAAGTTTGCCAGAGATTTCATTCAGTCTGTCCATCCTCAGTTCCCTAGGGCCTCTGAGCCTAAGCTGTCCGATGAGCCCAATTTCTCAACAGCTCAGGGTTCATCCACGTAAAGATTCAGAACCTGGGAGAAAGAACATGCCGCAGAGCATTTAAACACAACTGTCTGGGTTCCTCCTAGGCAGCTCAGGTGCTCCTGGTGCAGCTCAGGGAGGCCCTCAGGATCGACAAGAGGAAACACTGCCCTCTCCTGCGCTGCCAAGCTACTGACATTCACACGTATGCTTCCAGTTAAGAGAAAAAGAGAAAGA